ATCAGTGTGGCAACAGTATGGTGGCAGAGAAACCTGATTGCTGACCTGGGACATTTTAATGGAAACTGTAAACGAAGGCAACGTCTGACTTATAATTAAGTTATTTCCTTCATCTGCCTGACATCAAATGACATTCAAATGCTTTTATCAATCATTAAACGAACAGTTAGGATTATTTGAAGTGGGTTGCACAGTAGATGTCATTCAGCATGACCCCAGTTTGCCAAAGTCACACAATAACCTAAATAAACTAAGGGATTGAGGCAGCAGCAGACCAGCAGTGCCTGTGTTCAGCGATGTTAAATCACTGTTTTTTTCCAATGGAGTCTGGCTGTGAAGCGAGTAATGTAACAGCTACATTTTCCAGCTGGAAATCACTGTGTGACATTGATGAAATGTGGTGACAATACTCGCAATACAGCATACACTAATATTGACTTTTTGGGTGGCTATGTTTTGTTGCTGGCCCCCATCCACTGCAGTACATTGCTTAACTTCTGTGTCAGACTCCAGCCTGCTTCTCCAAATTGTGGGCATGTTGACTGCCATCTACTGTTTGTAATATATTATCTATGGATATTACCCCATTACCCCAAAAACTGAACTGTCCCTTTAATTAGCCAGTCTAAAAAAGGACAAAGTGCCATCATCTATAAATATACTAATCAAAAGCCACACAACCTCAAGATGACTGTTATCTCACAACTTTAAGAACGCAACAATATTGTCCTTCATATCTTGCCATCCCTCTCATCATGTCTGAATGGGGTGAACTGGGGACACCTACAAATGTTTAGTAGCTGTGGTCTGTAGCTGTTAATATATGGGTTTAAACTCCTCTACAGATGGATCAATTCCCATTGTGCGTGTAAGACAGAAAGGGAGAGTTTCTATACAGGATGAAATCCAATGAGCTTAGTATCGCGGCGGACAGTCTGTGATTTATAAAGAAAACCGCTGACGGCCAGTGAAAGGGGGGGGCAGTGTGATAAGATTAACCACCCCATCCAAAAGTCTGGTGCTGAAGAGGTAAACTGTGGTAACAATGCGTTGCGACAAGAGGCTAATCGTGGTGGGAGTAAAAGTGAACAGGCCAGCTAGACTCAGCCCAAACAAATCCCCTGGAGGAACTAATCCAGTGTGAGGGGATGAACCGGGACGAGCCTGTGATGGTGACGTGACTGAAACTGAGATAATTTGCTTCGTGTGTAACGTTAAACCAAACGAGGAGGACAACATCACATTTTAAACAGTTGTGTTTAACAGACTTTCGGATAAAATGACTGAAGGCCATTGCTCAAGCACTGCTAACGTGTCTTCCTATCTGAATGAACTTCACCTGTAACGTAACCAACTGTTTGTTAACCGTTACGTCAATAACGTGACATATATATCGGTATTTAATCTCTGAATTCCTTCTCGTATGTATAAGGAACACCCTGTTAGCGCTAGCCTACTAGCTAATGAAACTAGCAACACTGTATAGGCTCCTTAGCCTCATGCTACTTCCTGTACTCCACCAGCTAGAAGGTTAGCTTCACTGTCAGCTGGAGAATTTGGGATTGGTACCCAACAAACGGAACATTTCGCTTTCAATCAGCCCGACTGAGTGTGACACAAACACGCACAACCCCACGGAGTCACGACTGGGCTCCTATCGGTGTGATCTACATTATGTTCACATAACTACGCAACATGGTGGAGGTAGTTAGCCTTAGCTGACTAGTAACTCGGTGTCGGCTTCACATTGCACGTGGGCTACCGAGCCTGACGTGAAAGCTTCCTGCGCGCGCGGCCAGACTGGGCAGCTAGGCGGCTAGCCTTTGCTAACCCCGATCGCACTGTTTTCTACCACAGCCGTACATGTCACCCACAAAATCGGCTCCGTTTCGTTCTCTCACCTCTGCTTGCTTCCTGACGTTGTTGTCAGGGCTCATCAGGTTGCCCAGCAAGAGGTAGAACTGCTGCTGCTGTTCCGCCATTGCAGTGAGATCCAAAAAGACCAGCCGGGTGGAGAAGCGGCGAAATGAGCCCGGCAGACACTGCTTCGGTCACACAATGCTGCTAGCGTCCCATTGGCTTGCTTTATCAACTCTACTCGTCAGTCATTGGACCAGAGACGTGTGTCAAACGCATCTCATTGGCTCACACGGGTTCTCGGCTCCTATTGGATAGAGGCCACACAGAAAAGTGAATGCGTTGTTCCTGTTAGCTAATAATGAATTGCTAAAGCGCGGGAAATTACCACATCACTGCTAGCAAAGCAGAGGCAGAGCTTTGCTTTTGTACGTGTATATTCGCGGTGAAAAGTAATTAAGTACATTTACTCAAGTACCGTATTTAAGTACTATGTTGCGATACGTCTACTTAAGTCGAGTATTTCCATTTTAAGCTACTAGTTTAGGCGTGTACTTAACTACAGTTTAAAGGGAAGTATTGTACTATAAAATGTACTATATTTTGCAGCTATAGTTGCTAGCTTAGTTACTTTTAAATAAAGTCCTCCACAGGGGGACTCCACAGCACAAGTAATATTACTTTAACATATTCTAAGTGCATTTTGCCACTAGTACTTCTCTGAGCTACTATTTAAAGAAGTAAGTGGGGTTTAATGTGTAATGGGTGTAATGGAGTATTTTCACACTGTGAAATTAATACATTAGATAAAGTATCTGTAACTTCTTCCACCATTACTTATCCCTCTATGATACCACGTTGCCTACATATAGCATACCCATTTCTGGCCATTAACACACACACACACACACACACACACTACATATTTAATTATGTTGAAATACTTAAAAAATAAAGAGCCATGGCCCTTAGGGAACTAATTGCACTGTATATATTGTAACATGACTTCCTGGAGGCCATGTTGAGTCCCTTTTTCGGGGCTTCAACCCTCCCTCTACAAAAATGGCCTGAAAACTGTCATTTTACAAAATGGGTTTACAATAATGTAAAAAAATGTACTTTAAATGTACTTTATTTGATAATTAAGTAATACAAAATTGTCAAAATTCAAATGTTGCCTTCAAGGAACACTTTTTGTTAATGGAGCTCCACCATGACAGTTTTTGGTGTGATGTATTTAGGTTTATATGCTGTTCAAATGCATAACAGTTATCATAATTTTCTTGTTACCTCCACAACTTCACCTAGATGAGTTAAATAATGTTAGTTTTGATAAAGTTCAGGCTATGACACTGTATAGTCTACTAAAACATTGTAACATTGTAGAAGAAGAAGAAGAGGGTAAAATTAGCCCTTCCAGTTGATGTCCACCAGGAAACTAAAACAGGCATTCAAATGTAAAAGTAATGATCAAACATTGAATTATAACTCTCTTGTTTTTGGAGAGGGTTATGATAGTTTGGTTTGATAAATTGTGCCTATAAAGATTGCTGAAATATGCTGACACTCTTTAAGTCCTCCACAGGGGGACTCTATAGTAATATTACTTTAACACATTTTAAATGTATGTTGCCACTAATACTTCCACTTTTAATTTATTATTTTAAAAACTGATTAATTAATTAACATAAATAAAGTATTTCGATACTTCTTCCACTGTTGTCTATGACTTCGTAGAAAAGATGATGGTTAGCTTGATTTAGCTGTAAGTGTGGACCTACTTTTAGCCAAGATTTAATAAATACTAAACAAAGCTTACAGTTTATCATACTAGATAATTTGGATTTTTCATATTCCATATATGAAGTTAGCTGTTCAGTCATGTTTTTTCTATAAATCTCACTTCTTTTGCTTATTGAAAACCCTTTGACAATGTCACAAGAACAATTTGAATGCAAATATACAGAATTTAAATTAGCCTTTATGTGTAGGTTTGCATTATGTCACACATACAATTTAATATAATAAAGGTTGAGGGGTATTTTTTACTGTATTCATTTTCAGATAACTGGGATCAGCCTGTAAAGCACAAGTTTTAATTGCATTTGCAGAACGTAAGTTCCCCCACACAGTAAATATGTCCTCAGAGGAAATAGGCTCAAGTGAAAAATAATAACTTACACTGAACATTTTTAAAATATTAATGGAATTGATTAAAAAAAAGCTTATAATTAATTTGTTTGACTGTTTGCCTTTTTTTCTATGGACATTATATTTTGAACTTCTAATTGAGTTTTGAATACAAAATAAAAGTGTATTATTTTCTGTAAATGTTAAACCATAAAAGAAAGTTTGTGAGAAATAATCACATATATTATATCTGCTTGTTCCAACACCTAATTGAATCTATGCACTTACTCTGACATGTTTGATGTCTTTGGAAACTTTAGGATGAAATGCACAACAAGAGCCTTCATATATAAACTTAGTATACTGCCCACGTGAGTTATATGATTACAGCAAGTTGTCTTAACAGCTCAACCATGTCAGTGCAGGTTGCAGAGCAATGTTCCAGCAGATGGCAGTCATGCTTTTTCAGTGATAACTGCAATGCATTTTTTTTTCTGCCAGTGAAGTCACCTGTGTGTTTGCAGATCAGATCGGCCATGTAAAAAAACAGCTGTAACAGATCTGGAAGACATTTGGTGGCCTTCGGGACAAGAAAAAGTTAATTTTTGTCTTTTTTGTCTTAACTTATTATATTTATTTATTTATACCAGTGCCATTGCCCATTTTATTGTTCTCTCCCAACATTCAAAAGGTTACACTAGGTTACTCAGGACTTGTCTTCAAATGCACCAAAGGGTCAGTTTTATTATTTCAACATTGATATCTGTACCATAAATTTGGGTCTGCAGTGTTAACTCAGTTTTTTCACACTGATTGTTTCACATCTCACACACACACTCATGTGAAATCCTTCAGTTTTATTAATATTCTGGCTGCTCACTTTTCATACAGATGAGCCTCACTCCTGCTCTAACAGATGGTGCTGCAGACTTGATCACACTTTAGGTCCACCCTGGCTCTTGACAGCACCCCTACTGGTCTGAATTAAACCTTTAACTTGTTCCCGTTCACAGAGCCGCAGCAGAGTCCAGACCTCTGGATAGCGGGCTGCTGTGAACCTGCACCACCTCCCGTCTCTGAAACCTGACTGATTAAACTCGCAGGAGGACTTCCATGATGAATAAAAAGTGAAAGGTAAGCTCGAGAACCATTTAGTTGTACAAACTTAATTTCACGAGTGAGCTTTTGCGAGACAGCACCACACTTCTTATCGCTTTTTGTTCCATTTAGTCCCGGCGGTCAAAGACTTAACACCGAACTCAATTCAAAAATTAAGTTTTTATGGTGCGGAGCTTTCAGGGAACCATCAATAACGTTAAAACATTTATGAAACCCATGGTTAGGGTCCGCTCTCCAATTCGGCTTACATGTACGGTGCAGCAGTTCATGCAGTAAAATGTATTTCTGAAAAACACATCGGAACGCATGCTCTGGTGCTACAGTGAAAAATAAGTACTTCTTATATCAGTGCTATCATGCTGTTACACCGCGGTGTATTAGTGCAGAGGAAGGTTTTGGGAATTACACGAAAAGTTAAATTAAAATGTCAGCTGCAGAAGCTTCATCAGCATTCATAAACACAAAAAGTACTCTTTAAGGTATGAATACAGATTAAATGGAGACTGGCATGCCACCTGTTTAAAGTGGCAGTTTGCAGAGCTGCAGTAACTATTAATCACATTTCACAGTAAATTATGCATGACAAGTTTTAGATGATAATGTCAGAATACACTGGCTGATCCTGTTAAAAGCTAATACAGTTGTGATTTGCTTCAGTATTTTGCCTTCACATTTAAACTATCATAATGAACACATACACCTGAATTATCTCTATCCTACTTGTCAGAGGACCCTGTTAGACAAAATAATACGGTAACAGAGTGAGCAACAAAACTAGAGGAACAGCTTGTCCCATTTTTTGTTCTGTTATGGTATTTCTCAGTTTAAAGATGTGTTAAACCCTTAATTTCACATTTTTACTGATGAATGCACTATTTACTAAGCGTGGGTAAATAGTCTAATTTCTCATATCTTCATACTTTCATGACATTTTTAACGGGGTATGTGGTATATTACAGTTTTGTGTTAAAAATGAAACAACAACAACAAAACAATAAAGCTGAGTTACCGCTGATTGAAATCGTTACAGTGCTGTGTTTCTAATATACAATTAGCCTACTTAGACAAGTGTTGCTAGGTTTAAGTGCTTAATGGCCTATAGAATAATGAATAAATAGGAAATAAACGGCCTTCTTGCTGGAGGACCTAATGACACTTGTTGCCACAGCGCATACCGACACATCGGTGGACTGAACGGAGATGATTTGTTGAATAAAATCGTGTAGCTAATGAGTTGCTTTTGTAGCAGGAAGACGTAAACGCAAGATAAAGTTATATGTGACAACACTCCCAAACAGAAGCAGAGGCATTTTTCTTTATTACTAGTCCTGTAATGTTATTCTGACCGCTCGCAGTCGCCATCGTTCTCAGCTCAGCTGCTTTTTCTGCCAGTAGAGACTGACCTCTGGTGGTGCGTGCTGTGTACTACAACACATAGCCTCAATACAGCATCTTCATATCAGTTTATTAAAAAGAGGAGCGTCTCTTCTTTTGATGGTATTGAATACCTTTGGGATTTATAAATACCCAAGTAAACCTTAATACCTTGACATAGCCCATGCCTACTGTTCACTTTGTTAGGTAATAATAACTTAATAAATCTATTTAAGAGACTAGGCTCCCCTGCCATGCTTTTCTAAAACATGACAAGGTGACAGCTCTCGAATAGTTAGGGTCATGACAATTTTGCACCTAAAATGCAGGTAATTACCAGTTTAATCAGCTTTAATCCATCATGTTTCCTTTTTTCGTCAGCCATGCTTTTGTTCGTACCCCAGTAAAATGAATGGAAGCCAAAGGCTAAGGATGAAAAACAGATCCAGAAACCTCTAAGAAAAAGTAGTTAGCAAGTGGTCATAAACAGACAAGGACCAACCATGCAGGAAATATTAGATGTATTCATTGATACTTTATGGTCAAAGACATTACTGTGCAGGAGATTTATTTTTTATTATATTTTCCACCACTTTTCAAACACCAGCTTACTGGAAACAGAGCCGCGAAGAGCTTTCACTACATACAAGTGTTGGCTGCTAATATATCCCCCTAAATGGAAGTGGCGTTAAATCATTAAACTGGACGCCTGAGTGTGTTACCCACAGACCTCTGCAGTTTCACATGAGGTCAGGCTGAAGTGGAAAAGGAGAGAAAGATGGATGAGGAGAGAAAGAGCGAGTTTAGTGCTGAGGGGCTGATGGACAGGCGGCCGAGCGTTAAGGTTTTCTCCACTCACAGACCCCAGAATTTAGTCTTTGAGACGGTGTGTGTGTGTGTGTGTGTGTGTGTGTGTGTGTGTGTGTGTGAGAGAGAGAGAGTGAGAGTGTGTTTAACCTTTATTTATTCAGGGAAAGTTATGTGATTTTCTCGGAAAACTCAGTGGAAAGCCGCAGTCTTTGAACAATATTTGAGATTTTGCCTTTTAGCATAGTAGAAACAGAGCAGTCATTAAGGGATTCAAACTACCAATCTTTTAATCACAAGTGAGTGACAGTTTTGGTAAGGAGTTTTGAGATGCTAACCTAACCCCCAGTCAAGAAATAGCTCAAAGGCTAACTGCTCTGAAAACCACAGTCTCTCATTTTTACATTTCTATTTCTGCACAAGTAAATAAACAACATAGGAAGTGTAAATAAGATTTTCCCCCACATTGGTCAGCCTAGTCTAGCAGCTCCCCCCTGCTCATAGCTCATGTTAAGTTAGGCAAAGCACATCCTGGACCTACACTAACCTAGAGGAATTTGATGTGTCATATTTAGCATATTTCTCATAACTTTTCACATTAACATTTTCCCCAGAATTTTTAAACTCTCCATTTACTCTTGAGTGTCCTCACTGGGCTGCTTGTCTAACCTCAACGCTGCTCCTCTACTTGTGTGTGTGTGAGACTCCTGTAAGCACAGTTTTATTGCTCCAGTAGAAAGGTAAACCTCAGTGACTTCTGGGTTTTAAAAAATCAACACAGCCAGGTTTGTTTAGAAAAGGAGCGAGCTGAATGTTTGAAGCGTTAAAAGTCAATATTTCTTTGTGACACACAGACCTGTTTCACAGTGGAGCGCTATGTGCCGGACAAGGCATCCATTGAGGGCTGTGACGCGTGTGGGAGGGTGGTGGTGGGGGGTCAGGTGCTGGTTTTTGGGGGTTAAGAGTTGTTGGGTAACCACTGTAGGCCTCCTTTGCAGCTGGTCATGGATTAATGGAAGTCATTGGAGATGAACTAATGTGCTTAATTCATATAAACACTTACAGTAGGTTTGTGATTAGCTGTACATTTCCTGTCTTGATTACATACACCCGCAATGTCTTTTCTAATCCAGAACGTGTGATGTTTTAGCTCCAGAGGTGGATGGGTGTACAATACACAGGACAGCAAAAACGTGATAAGCATTTTGCATATATGGTTAAAGGATAACTTCAGTATTTTTCAACCTGGACCCTACTTTCCCATGTTTTTTGTCGAAGTGGCTTATAGGAACAACAGCCTTTAAAACTGGGCTTGTCATCACTTGCACCATCCAGTAGTCCTGCCCCATTTCCACAAAGCAGTACAGTACGGTTCAGTTCAGTTCGGCTCACTTTTTTCCGTTTTGAAAAGTTGTGGATGGTACCAATGGAACTGTTCAGTACCGTCCCCATTTTTGGTCACCCCTCTGTTGGGGTACCTAGCACACAGATCTGGTACTAACAGGTGGAGCTGTGAACACTGCAGTCAGTTGATTGGTCAATAGCGGATGGTCACTCTGCTCAGGGCTGAGTTGTGGCTGGTTCTGAGACTTATAACCACTGATCATACAATGGGGAATTATACATATATAAGTAGACTGTAACTATAAAATGAAGGATGTTTTGCTGCCTCTTGGTAACTTGTAATATTACTAAATGCATGAGTTGATGACGTGAATCCATCAACACACCTTAAATTTCATTGTGACATCTTTGACCATTAATTAGTTTTTATATGACTTACACTTTTAGTAATGAATGGATCTCCAAGCATTAAAAAGATATATTAATTTCGGCTGGGTTGTGTGAACTGCATATATTGTTATTGTCACTTGGAGAAAAAAAAGCGTAGCGGAGCGTCGTTCCTGTGGGCTCCGGCAACACCAAACACCTGAGCCTGCCTGAGAAGAATTAAATGCACAAACCTGCTATTTTTGGTATTTATGGTGATTGTTGGAACAGTGGAAAGATGAACCAGTGTTTGAAGTGTGTTTTATACTGATAAAACTATTATTTATTTAGGTCTGGTGGGTTTGGTGATAGCAATTTTGGGGCTGTTTCTGCTGAAACAAAAAGGATCTTACTCTTAAACAAAAAGGTCTATCTCTGTAGGGATCCTTTCATAATGTTGTCAGACACTTAGAATAACAGTATGAGCCTGTCAGTGGCAAAACAACCACTTTTAGTGGACTTACATTGATGGCACATAGTTGTCCTGAGTGGTTACATTAGCCTTTTTTTCAGCTGGCTGCAGCACTCTCGTTTAATACTGGTCCAGTTTTAAAAAAAAATGTCTCCATGAATAACTTAGACACAAAAACATCAGCAAATAGGGTCCAGGTTTAAATTTGAGCTCCTAAAGCCTACTTGGTAAACATTATGGGAAGATGGAGGATGCTTTAATGCTTAATTTTACGCTTTTTTTTAAAATGATGATCGCTATAAAGGACAGATAATCAAACACGTACACCGCAAATGGCACAAAAATACTCGTAACAGCTACTTGAGTTTAACCTAATGTGCTCAGAGGTGGACGTACCATAAATATTTTGAGCTTTTCAAAAGACGCTGGCATTTAGAGGCCATCAGAGGTAGCCGAATATGCTCTAAACTTGAAGTGATAAATTTTCAGAATCATACAAGGTGATATAGAAGTCACTATCATATTCACTCGTTAAGTTGACAGCTTGGAGGCCATCTTTTTGCTCCCCTGAAGTGTTCTCTGTAATGTTCAAACCTGGCCATCTCTCACCGATCATGGTTTGGTTTTCGCTCAGCACCCCCCTGCGTCTCACTGTGCCTGTAATCATTCAGCCTCAGCAGTGACAGGAGGGCTGTAAAAACAGAGCCGGAGGAGGTCATTCTGAAGTTTGCACAGGAACGAGCCATTCATCGTCTCAGGGGGGTTTGGTACTCTGCTGTGGTAAGACTGAGGCTGAGAGAGATGAATGTCCTGCTCTGTAAAGGTTGGGGATGAGGCCGGGAAGTGTTATTTATCTCTTATGCTCTGCTGGGCACACGGGAAGCTAAACGATCCTGTCGTTTTTCAGTGGATATGATTTATTAGTGCCATTAATTTGCTGAATAGGAGGTCACCCCTCCGCCTTCTCAGATTGGCACTTGTGTAGCCAGGCATGGCTAGTGTCGCTGTCAACAGTATGAAAACCTGTCACACCTTCTGCTTGTTGACACAGAGTATGTCCATGTTAAGACAGTTAATTTGGAAACATCATGTGTGAAAAGGACATGTGTCCACTGTAGTGTTTGAAGTGTGAAGATCTCCCTCCCTGACCAAGCTCACCTAGTCTCCTTCCAAAAGCTCTCTTTCCTCGTATCTCTGTGGCATACAAGCACTGTATATGTGATAAAATAGTCCAAACTAAAGGTACACTTACAACTTTTTGAGGGAAAAAAGTGCAATTATACCGATTCAATTCAGTTTAGAAGTGAATCTTCTTGGATGAGAAGTGAAACGTCTTCAAGAAACTCAACCAAATCCAGCTGGCTATGATATAGCACTTTAGATTATCACTGAATGTTGATGACGCTTTGCATTTTGAGGTCTAAAATAGTTCGAGGGTTCTCCTCTGTAAATATGGAATGTTAGACTGATCTTGCATGTATTAAATGGATAATTCAGATCTTTTAAGGTGGGGTTGTGTGAGGTACTTAGCCATAGTCAGTACATTACAGTAGATGTTGGACGGCGTGTCCCTGGTTTGGATAATTAGGCAGGAGTACGACACAAAAGAAAAGAAAAGCACTGCTGCGGATGTATTTTAGCCAGCTAAAAAAAAAAAAATAAAAGTTTAAGTGTACACTACACTGAGGATATTTTTACTGCCTTACGTTGCTGTAGACAGCCCTTTGGACGGGAAGCTTGAGTCCCCCATCCTTGCTCTCATCGAAGCCACAAGACCCCATTGACGAAGACAGCAATTTAACATCACTGAAAACAGGAGCTGCTGGTCTTCCGCTGCCTTGATCTGTTAGTCAGTTTGTGTTATGTGTGACTTTGATGAATCAGAATTAACCCGTGAAAACGTCACAGTCACACAATAACACAACAAACTAACTGATCAAGGTGGTGGTAGACCAGCAGCTCCTGTGTTCAGTGATGTTAAATTACTGTTTTTCTCTATGGAGTCTGGTTTTGAAGAGAGTGGCTTCAGTTACCCTTCAGAAATTACTGTCTGACCGCAAGTTAAAGAGGTGAAAATGTTCTGTATGTAGCATACACATAAACCAATAGTGATTTTTTTGGTGGATTTTCTTGGATGTTTTGCTGCTGCCCCCGTCCACAGCAGTACATTGCTTAGTGTCTGTGTCAGCATTTCTGTCTGCTTCTCCAAACTGGGGACAAGCCAACTGCTATCCCTTGTAGGTAATATATTGACCATGGATAAGTACCTCATACAGCACCACTTCAAAAGATCCAAGCTCTTCCTTTAATAAAAGAAAAATCTTCTTCTTCCTGGTGTTGGTTGCAGCCATCCCTATAATCTCCACTACTCACTGTGAAAGCTGCGTTCAGGGATGATACACAACTGAAGCATGTCACCATTGCACTAGCGTGCTTAAGTAAATATCACAAATATATCACAAACAAAAAACCTTTCCAGCATGAGGAAAAAAAGTGCAATTAAAGAGCTTAATTTGAATGAACCTGAAGGACTTAAAGGAACTCAGTCAACACATACAGGGAGTAGACTCTTTTTGTCTTTGATGGGTCACAGTCAATCGACTGTACCAGCAAACAGTGTGACTCTTTCTGCTGGCCATCAGGTGACTCTGGAGGCCAGACGGGGTTTCTTTGTTTAGACAAACAAAATGTTTGTCTGAGCTAATGGCATTTGCTATTGACTCTGCATCCTCGTTCATTTGCACGTTGATGATACTGCAGCTGTGTTCGACCAACACTGAGACTCATTTTGTATCCAAATGATTTAGAATTAACCTCAGATCACTTTATGTGTACTGATTCAGATGTCGATAGTTGGTTTAAAGAAGTTAGCCAACAGTTTTCAGCAGCTCACTTACTCAATGCCTTTTAATTGTTATAAGTAAACCTACATTTTTAGGGTTCTGGTTTGCACTTAAAGAGACTGTGCTCTTCTCACAGCAGAGAGTTTCTCATAGGAAAATGTTTTGACTGGAAGTGGTTGTAAAACTGGAGCAAAAAAGGTGTTATGTGGCCTGTATCCATGATGATATAACCTAGTTTGACTACTTTATATCCCATGAAATTTCATGGGAAATTTCCTTAACAGTAACTATAGTGTACGCATGATTCAAGCTGTCTGTTCAGTGCAAATAGGCTTCAGAGAAACTGATCTAAAATGTCATGAATTGGCTTGCTGCTTCCTGTTTGGTGCTGGGGAGAGCTCAGCTATTATTGACAGTGTTCACGTCACTGCACTTCAGCATTTGTCGGAGCCAACACTAAAAACTTTCAATTACATAAACATGTTTGATTTTATTGGAGTATCAAGATAAGAAAAAGAGTTTTCTGACCAACTTACATCGAACGATTGAGATCACAGCAGCGCACACCAACAAAGATAAAACTCTCATGACTTTATTCCAACATTGAACATTTGTCTGCAGCAGTAAAACCACTTGAAAAGTCGTTTGCTGCCAGTAAAGGCAAGGCCAGAATGAAATAGCAAAGTCAGATTAAATGCAGTTTCCTTGGATTCTTGGATGTTACTTTTTTGGCCCTCTGAATCCATTGCGGCGAGGATGTCACTGGCAGCTGGTTTGGCCGTTAACAACCTTAATCTGACCTAATTTTTGCCTAAATTTAAAACTGGATCTCCTTAGGATAACAATCCAGACACACACACGCACACAGGGCAGACATCCCTCTCTATTCAGAGAGTTAAGTTTGCTCTGCACAAACAGGAATGCTTTGCTTCCCCCCCCCTCCGTCTCCCCCATCACACACACACACACACCCCTTCACTCCCCCCCTCCACCTCCCTGCACACACTCTGGTCAGTGTGCCACTGTGTGCCGATGTGTAACAAGTTCTCATACCTCTTTCTTTCCCTCTCACCATGTGAAGGATCTGTGCCAGCCGTTTGTCTCCCGGATCAGTTTGGTGATGGTGAGCAAGTAAGTTTATTTTCCCGCATATATCTCTGTGTGCAGTGTGTGTGGAGGTTGGCTGTTTCAGTGCAATTACTTATTCTTTTGTGTTGTGTCCTTTCTGGCTTTGTGTCGAAGTCGCCCACTTTTTGTGGCTGTTTTTCTGCCTGTCTGTCAGTTTGTCTTTTCCCCCCCTTGGAGGCTAGTTTCTGATTTAATGATCTATAACATGACCCCCGACCTCTCCCTCCCTCCCTGCTACCCTTTCATTCCCATCCTCAGCGCATGTCGCTCTGTCTCTCCCTGCGGAGACTACATGTTGCATGGACAGACGTGTGTTAACATTAGGAGGTGGGGGGGGGGGTGTTCAGGTAATGTGTAGTGGATATTTCCTTTGTTCTGTCTGAGGCATGGGTGCTGAAATTGGCATGGGGATAGTTTGGGAGAGAAAGGCAGAGGAGAGACAGAGGAAAAGCTTGGATCAATAGCTCCAGTCTGGATTCTAACATTATGTCTGAATGGGTGTAATTTATGGAGCCTGACTATTCAATATAAGCACAGTTTTTTGGCTTTTTGTCAAGTGGGAGCCACATGTTGCACTGATTATAACCTCGGATACTGGGGAATATTTTTGACTAGAAGCAGCACCTGGCAATTTGTATGTAAAAATTGCAATTATTCTCTCATTTTCCCCGAAAATAATTGCTTGCAACATGGCTTGCACCCTCATAGATGACTAATAGGATCAAGATAGACTTACAGATCTTTAATTTGGTTTTCTTTTTATGGCATTTTTATTGAGAGTGAGTTAGGAGCATGACTGGAAAACACTAGTCATATCTGGCACCACAGTAATCCTCTCACATGTGCTTTAGTCTGTAATAAGGACTACATTTTATGAGCTCCCTCTCCATGACAACAGCATCAATTAATTAGATGCAATGGATTAATCGTTGATGTACTACAACTGTTAGTCACCCAAGAGTTTCACAGACAAAGACAGCTGGTATGATAGTATTAGATTGACCCAGACTTGCACTTTTTTGTACTGGGCAGCAGAACGAAAAGCAAAACATCCACTCAAAGGTACATTTAAGAATAAATGCGAGAAGAGCTCTGGAACACAAACTCACCATCATACTGAGATAATAAAACTCAAAGCAATCATTTGTATTCTGTAGCACACCATAATTAGATAAACTTAAGAAATAATGCCTGGAATATTTTTCTTCCATTTACAAAACCTCCTCATGGGGTGGACAGTATTGTGTAAACACTGTTAAAATCTAATTAAATCCAATACAATAGCTATACATCATATTACCTCTGCGAAGCTTATTTGGGACTCTATTTTGAAGACTGTCAGAGCTGAACTCATTAGTTTTGGGAACAGTTTTGAACCTCATCTCATCTTATCTCAACATGCATATAAACTTGCGACGTTCCTGTTTAAATTCCACTTATTCATTTACGTACCACTGCACAAATTTATATTACTTTTATCATTTGTTTATATTTAAGCCCTGTATCTTGACTTGAACTAATTAAGTCTTTGATTCAGATTTTGCTTTTACTTGTGTGATTTTTTTAAAGATATTTAATGAGCATTGTTGGAGGGAGACGACCGCTTCTTTAATATCATGATAGAATACTTGAACTTCGATGGAGCTTGGCCAGTTGTCAAGGAGATGGCTCAGTTGGCATCACATGACCTTAAGATGGAACATCAGTCATGTGATGACAAGAGGATTTATAGCCTCTGCAGAGTGTCTTTTTTGTTGATTACAGCTATTGTCTATTTAAATTTGAGGCAAATACATCATTTCACTCTGAGCTAGGCTTGGGTAGTATGAATTTTTTTATACCTTCATGCCTTCCTGAAATTTCCTCGGATATTTCGTATTTGACGGTATTTGTGTGCAGCGTTACCCAACTCCCCTCTCGACCGGCAAGTTTATGATGTTGCGCAAGCTCCCTTAGCTTTTTCAGTCTAATAATTCTTCCAGTTATTTCATTATTAAACAGAAAAATACAACCGTACATCTTCTGAATTCAAGTCTCTCTCCACCAAAGACTAATGTTAGCTCAATTGCCTTCTTAAATCATCTTAAAACACACTTCATTCACACTTTACAGAGCTGTGCTTGTGCCTGATAAATGCAAGATGGCATTAAAGTACCATGTGCCCCAGGGCTACGATTTGTTCACGGCCCTTCGCAGGGACAATGTCCTGTAAAGTCTATGTCCTATTTTGTATCTAACAGTTCTCCAACTGGGTTCGAGTTGACTGATACTGGCCTGGCATCGTGACATGAAACAGCAATTTTTAAGTTAAAACAAACAACGAGTGCTGCTGGGGGACTCACGATTAACCAGTCACCGCCACAGGCAGGACTAACGGCATTGTCTAGCTGTTGTCAAGCGTTGTCAAGCGGTGTGCCAGAGCCAATGAGGAGTGATAACAAAGATGGCGAGCACTATTGATGAGATAGACGCTGCTATCAAGGCTGTTTTAAGTTGACATATCTTGTCATTATCACCTGACATCGTAGTTTGTTTTGCTTTGCTCGGCTGTACTCTTAAAACCCTGCTAAAATAGGTATGTTGGCATCAGTGTGATCTTAAAATGATGTTAGATTGAGGCCAGTATGTTGGTCTCTAGTGATTGGTTAGGCAAAATTCAACCCCCTCCCCCTTGTAAATCTGTGAGAGTGAACACAGTGTCTGACTGAAGATGGAAAACGCTAATGAGTTGATGATTCTGTTTGATATCAGGCAACTTTAGCTGTCTCCATCACACTGAGACCATAACACAACTAGTATTGAGTGTAACTAATTTTCACTCCTGCCACCTAAAACTAGAAAAAAAGGCACTTTCACGACCTGTCAAACCTGGACAAACATCAACCATGCCTTATTTGCAAACAAGAACAATGAATCAGAAAGCACTCATGACTGACGTTTAATTTTATGACTGTTAGGGCACCAAATACAAGTCATCTAATCATTTTAAGCCCATTCATTGGCAATACAGAAATGGCAACATCAAAAGGTACAGGCCAGAGCACCGCACAAAGTCAAGCATATTTTTTTCCCCTGTGATTTTTTTTTTCCTTGTGGGCTCTGTCACATTGTCTGGCCCGTGCTTTTAAATCAGCAGTGGATTAATCTAAGTCCAATATTCTCTCTAGTCTCCTTTTCCCTCTGTATTGTGTTCCAGCAACTCCTGAGGGAAATATCTGTCTTTTTAGCTGCTAAATGCTGCAACATATTCACCAGCGTTCTCCCAACTGTGTGTGTCTGCTGTGCGGTGCAGGGCAGGTATTGTAAGGGATGATTGGGCAGACATTTTCAGTCATGTCTAATGACTTTCCTCCAGAGGCAGAATGTCCTGATGGTGAAGCATTTCAGAGAAAGCAAAAGGTATGCGTTTGGTTATTACGCCCTGTCATTATGTCTTTCTCCCAGACAGCATAAGAAATAGAGTTGATGATAAGAGAACAGAGGGAGACGGAGAAGAGCGAGTGGAGATAGGAAGAGAGGGATCGGTGCAGCTGTGTGCCTCTTTAGGATTCCTGCTCTCTACCTCCTCTAGCCGGGGCCAAACCGGCATCATTAGTTTTGGCAAATTACCCGAGCGGCCATTGTGGCACAGCCATGGCACGTTAGTGTGTCTTTTTAACTGTGGCTAAACTCAGTCTATTCACTTGTAAAAGAGAGCAGCCATTGGCAGATAGTTGGCAGGTTGCACAGAGAGGCCATTCACCCTGGTAGGAAGGAGCTGAGAACACTGCCTCGGAAATGGTCCTCTCTGAATATTTTGATGGAGAGACTTTGGATGCCCTCTCAGTGTCCGTTTGCTCCAACCGAACTGACTTTATTGGTAATTAATATTACTACTTTATATGTGAGACGTGCTGTCATGTGGGAGCTGCTGCTGTAACAGTCAGAGAGATTTTTAGGAGTTTGCTTCTGGTAGCAGCTGTTGTTTTGTGAGCCGTCATTATTTAAGGAGGAATTTGGGATCCCAGGTTTTTTCGGTGTAGGGAGGTGGGGTGGATTCACTGTTTCTTTTAATGATATTTGGCTGACGTCCAAGTACAAGAGAGTTTAGACAAGAGGCTGATACACAAAGGTCAAACGCTGGACTCCCTCCTTTTATTTTTAATGCCACGGAGGAACAACTTACCAGGCTTCTGAATGAGGAAATAATTACTTGTAATTAATTTCCCTGTCATATATCACCTTAGTAAAGAGGATATGTCAGGATTTTAATGAAGCACACTTAACATGTAACCCAATGTCTCAGCATGCTCATTTTGTAGCCTGTGTAATCCTGGTGTAAGTGTTATTAAGCATTTTCAAGGTCTTTGTGTATCTTTTGTCATCAGATCACGACATATAATTCCCAATAATGGCTGATTTGTAAGAAATGACTGAAGGGGTTTCACTCATCCTGACAGAATAAGAAATAGCACCTTCACAGTGTCAGTATGGCTGCCCTGTTGGCGCATTCAAACTTAGCGAGCTTAGTGGTCACATGGCCACAAAGGAGATTCATCCATGCTTTACTCTCCACTCCATCGAATCAACTCATTCATCTATAAGCAGTGAAGGTATCCAAGTGACACACACCATGGGAGGGCCATCCCTTTGGCTCCTGAAAAGACTGAAATGTTCTACTGCTTCAGTTTGTCTGAAGACAAAGCCAAGAGTGCTTGAATAGAAAGTTCTTGAAATAAAGAAGGGAGGCTCACAAAAACACTCAACTTCCATGTTGCTTTAATTTTGCAAGCATGCTTTAAAATCTTAAGATCAGTATCTGTCTCTGGAGCTTGCAGACACACACGAAAAAAACAACAACTCAGAGATTCTCAATTTCTTTCTCCCAACTCTAAAGTCCAATAACTACATGTCAGCTTCTGGAAGAAAAATGGAGAGTTTCACAAAAACCTCTGCAGTGTGTAAACTTTGTAAAACTTTGATGAAGGGCTGCGGAAACACTGCTGCAGTGTCCAAACATTTGT